TCAACCTCTGCCACACACTCGTTGCCCAGATTATTGATGTTTTTATGAATAGGACTTTTTAATACATGTTAATGCTTTTTATTCCATCAACTAACAACATGGTAAATGATTTTGCCAAATATACATGTGTATATCTTTTTTAAAACAAGGTATGAGATTGTATAGTTTTACTGCTAATTGTAGAGCTTAACATAGTTTTTTTTTCGATAGCATAAAGTTTAAAAATTAAATTGGTGCTATTTTTTACCATTTAAATTGTTGATGATTCTCATTTTGTTAAAATCATCCAAATCATTAGTTTTATTTTTATTTTGTCTGTAAGAATTGAAGTGATATACATTATTTCTACTTAAATTATAAGTAAACACTTAGTCTAATGAACATAAAAATTTAATGTAAAGGTAAACAATTAACTCAAAATTGACATATCAATCTAAGTAAACAGATTGTTTTGAACTTAAACCAGTTCAGACTATGTATTGTTATACATAAAGTTTTGCAAGATTATTGTTTAGTTATGTTTTTTTATGAACTAAAAAATACTTAAAATGACTGATAAATACTTTATCAATGTTCATTATTATAGAACAGAACTTTACACTTCAAATTTATTTAAAGTAGTCTTGACAACTCAAATAGGCAATATGAAATAAAAATATTCTTATTTACTGAATATGAACAAAATTTTCGCTTTGGAGTGGATTTGCAAAAGAAATAAAAAACACTAATCATGTTAAATATGATATTTAAAACTAGATCTGAATTATACTACTCAAGTGTAACATTCTTCTAATCCTATAAATGTTTATTCCTATAGAAAAAATAATATATTGTTCCAATCTATGTTATTGTCAGTTAATGTTCCCTTCTATATTCCCTGAAATTTAAATAGAAAAAAGCTCTGTTTTCTTATTCCTAAAAATATAAAATAGTGTAAGCTTTTTAGAGAAACTTAAAAGATAAAGAAATATTTTAGAAAATGTGATATAATAGAATGATTCTATTGAACAATTTGTACATAGTAAATTATTTTTGCATTAAAATAAAAGCATGTAACTTGGTTTCCAAAGATTTTTTTGCTTTTAGTATACCTGGTTTACATTATGCCAGTAAAGTGGGCCCAAAAATCTGTACTGACAATAAACACTAACTGATGTCAGGCCTATGCTACTGTCCAACTGTATTGACCAAATCTAAACCAGGCTTAAATATAAGTGTTGGTTATTTAATATTTTTAGTCAAAAGAAAATGCTACTTTTAAAAGTTAAAATAGTTCTAAAACACAGTTTATTTAGATATTTTGTAGTAAAAGTAATGCAATTTAAGTTCATAGCATGTTTTGATTTTTTTCTCCGAACCATTTTTTGAACCATCTTTGGGACTTATTTTATTTGAGTACAAAAACATAATGTCTCAATGCTTTCACTTTATGATACTCACTTGAAATTTCTGTAACTGTAAAATAAATGTGAATGTAAGAAAACAATCTAATAAAAATGTTGTTTGATGGTGTTTTAATTGTTCTTTTAATTTCTATTTTTGTTTCGTCTAACATTGACACCTGTTTAAAGAAAAGATACAAATGTCCATTATAATTTTGCACAGATGCTCCGGCTTTTGAAAACCCTCTTAGTTGTAGATTGGGCGTTGTAGAAAAAGTTACAGCTATCTGTTGCCCGAAGAAGTAACTAAATTATTTGACAATCAGTGTGTTCCGCTGATATATGAAATTATGTTAACTTCAATATTGAATAACAAAGTTAGTAGTAGTTAGTAGTTATACGAATGTTAAGATGGATGAGTGGGGTAACACGAATGGATAAGATATGAAATGAGTATATTAGAAGTTTGCAAGTAGCCCCAGTAGTAGACAAGATAAGGAGTAAAAGGTTAGCATGGTATGGGCATGTTATAGAGGGATGAATCGCATGTTACAAGGAGAACGTTAGTTATGAGTGTGGAAGGGTACACCAGTAGAGGTAGACCTAGAAAGAGATGGATGGATTGTGTGGAAGGTGATATGATCAAGAAGGGAGTGATGACAGATGACGTGTGATAGAGTTATGTGGAGGACAAAAACCTGTCGCGCCGACCCTACGGGAGTAGGATAAGGAGAAAAATGATGATATTGAATAACAAAATTCCTTCATCATGTAATGTTCGTGTAGCAATGGTATTTTCGATAGAATTGTACTCTAAAGTTATAGAAATTACCTGTACACACGGATACACTACATACTAATTTCAGGTATATTTTTAGGGAAATAATAAAAATAACAGAATGCCATTTTATTAAGTTTATTTAATTAAAATAATGATTCTTGTACCTTAATAATATTTCACAACGTAGCATGCAGAGATTTCGAAAAAAGACTCAAAGTATTTTTCATAATGATACATCGATAGCTCTCATGGAAATATAAATCCTAACGACTACCTTATTTTATACTAAAAAAAAAATGCAGCAAAAATGACGAATTTGATTTCCATGGAATTAGATACTTTTAAGTAAATATTAAAAAAATCGAATTATTTCGAATTTACTGTTGCTATTTACAAAAATAATAAAAATACAATAGTATTAAACAATTTAATTACTATCGCGAAAACCAAGTGATTATCTTAAAAAAAAAGATTTCTAATCAAATTTTAATGATCCCTGGACGAATTTAGTGTAATTGAAACAAAGCTTGAAGCTTTGAGCTTACCCTAGCAGTCGTACAAATGTACAATTTTATTTGTAATTCAAGTTATTTATTAAGGTAACATTATAACGTAAGGTAACATAAATTGTTGTATTTACAACTCAACACACTTGTCAGGTTGTAGGATTTTAATAGGAACATTAAATAACGTTTAAATATTAACTAACATAATAACAGTTACATTTTTGAAGATCTTGTACACAATTTGATCACATTTGATTACATTATATCTCAAACCGATAGGTTTGATATGAGAATCTGCTTTTAAATAATGAGATTACAAAAATAATACATTTGTTTGTGCTTCACATAAAACTCATAATTAATCGAAAGTACCATTTTCACTGTAGTAAACATCGAGGTACAAAATAGTTATTTCTTACTTAGCTAAATGTTGTACTAGTAATTTATCTCTCTATCCTAGTTTGCTCAGACCTTTTTAGTCATATCTTCTAAAGGAACCATTGCTTCGGGTGTTTTGTCTTCTACCGAATATCTCCGACTATTCTTCTTTTTGCCT